CTTCATCAGTTAAGTACAGTGTTTGGGCTGGATAATTTCTTTCCCTTTTTTAAAAAAAATTTATTTGAGAGAGAGAGAGAGAGAGAGCATGCTGTAGGGGAGGGCAGGGGGAGAGGGAGAGAGAGAAGAATCTTAAGAATCTTAAGCAGGCTCCACACTCAGCTTGGAGCCCCACATGGGGCTCGATCTCACGACCCCGAGATCAAAACCTGAGCCAAAATCAAGAGTTGGATGCTTAACCGACTGAGCCATCTAGGTGCCCCTGGGCTGGATAATTTCTAAGAGCCCTTCAAATTCATTCTGTGGCCAGAGACACAGGGAAATAGTGACCTGTGCTGTGTCATACCTTTCCATTTCTTGGGTCAAGAACATCCACAGATACTACAGGATTAGTATTATACTTTTTTTTACATTATACTTTTTTTTAATAAGGAAACAATTATTTCAGAAAGATAGGTTGAAAAAGGACATGGTGAATTTCCAAAATTAACTGTGAAAGACAGATCATCTGGGCATGACTGAAAGCCATGCATAACCTTTGTGCTCAGATATTTCATTTCAAAAATGTCACTTTCTGCTTATTCAATGCTACTGTCATTATACTATTTTAAGCATTAAAATTTGTGTTCTGGAGCTGAACAGGAATTATTGCCTCTATCTTTGGGCTTATTAGAAATAACTTAAAATTCATTCAAGAGCAATAAAAATCACTTTTTTATGATGGTTGAATTTGGTTTAATGTTGAAAATTGCAAGCAATTTTCATTGTCTTTTATTAGCAGTATTTCAGCGTCTGTGTATATAGATCAAGACTGTTTTTAAGAATTCTCTAAAGAAATGACTGATTAAACAGGATTTTATTCTTTAATTTTTAATTCCCTAGAGTGAGGTTAAAGTAGAATAAATTACGTGACAATGTTGTTTAAAATTTCAGGCTCTGCCTTATATGGGTAAACTTAAAAAAAAATACATGAGAGTTGAAACAAATTTTTATTGCTCCATGAATTATTTACTCAATTGCAAGGGGGATATGGAATGGGAAGCAGCTTTGTCTGGAAAAAAAGTCTCCTGATATTGAAGGAATGAATCTATTTATTCATCCCAATCATCTGTAATTTACTTAACTCTTTACTATCTAAATAATCTTCAATGCTCTCATTTCAAATTTGGATCAATACAAAGAAAGAGGACCAGGAAAAAAATGTGTTTGCATTATATGAATCTGCCTGCATTGGGCTCTTTTCATCACCCAGGGAAAGGGAGAGGGGATAAGCTTGCCCAGATGATGAAGTATTCCTTGGGCAAGGCTGGCTGGAGAGCTGCTTTAGCTGGTGGGAAGCCAAACAAAGTGGAACAGGGAACAACAACAACAACCAACAAAAAGCATCCAGAAAATGGGTCGGAATCAAAAGCACAAATCAGAGATTAGACAGTCAGACCGAGAATAACCAGAATTACAGGCTGTTGGGTGGAAGGGTGTCCCTGGATTGGTACCTGGGAGGAGCATTTCTATACTTAGGTGTAATTGCTCTTTGTGACATCGTTCCAGGGGATAAGGAGATATAGGGCAGGGGCAGGTGAAACTTAAATTGAAAAGACTGGGAAAGAGCTGTATTAATTTTTAAAATAACAAAGCTATTTCAAATATTTGAATGGCAGAGGATGGAATTAAAGTGGGTGCTTATCATTCAGCTGTATGACATCTTTATGGAGGGCTCAATAAATACACTGTTATCTAAGTCAGTTTAGGCTTTCATAACAAAATAGACTGGGTGGCTTAAACAACAGACATTTATTTCCTCTCAGTTCTTGAGGCCAGAAGTCCAAGATCAAGGTGCTAGCATAGTTTAGTTGGTTTCTGGTGAGAACTCTCTTTCTGGCTTGTAGACATCTGCCTGCTCACTGTATCCTCACATGATGGTCCTAATCCCACCCACTATGAGGACCCAACCCTCATGACCTCATCCGAACCTAATTATCTCCCAAAGGCACCATCTCCAAATATCATCACATTGTTGGTTAGTGTTTCAACATATCAGTGTGGGAGGAATGCAGTTTAGTCCATAGCAATGGTGAATTCTTATTGATTAAAGGCCACCATAAGAGTCACAGATTATGTTTTCTTCCCCTTGTCAGGAAGTATCTGTGCTTGGTTTGGCATTGAAGTTGTCCTCACAATACAAATGGAATGTCTGTATTCCTTCCTTATGAATAGTTGCTCTACTTAATTCTGTGTTGTGTTCTAGAATAGAACCCTTTCTTTCTTCAATCATTTCATAGATATGAAGTATTTTTATTTTTTTTCAGTTCCTTTTGGCAAACAGAATGAGTGCCATTTGCTCACATTTTGAGCACAACCCAAGCATTGGTCTTGCCCATTCCAAAGGCCACCTTCTAATCTACGTGGGAAGAGGGACATTGGGTTCCAAAGTTGTTCACGAAGCTACTGCTTCGATGAGTATCACAACCAGCTCTACCACTGACCCCTCACTGCCTGGGAATCCTGGGTTATGGTCTTCCTTCAGTGCAGTCCCCCTACCTAGGCTTGGACTCAGATGCTTGAATTCTGCCTGTCCTGTTACTTCTCTCCATACAACTACCCAAGTCTAGGTGGGGGCATCAGACTTTAGTGAAGGGTCAAAGAAAACAAAACTGCGTTATAATTTAGAAAGGATAAAAATGGTAATACTATTCTAAGTATGACCACTCCCATAAAATGAAGTTATCATCTTATGGACACACTAATTCCTAGCTTTAGGTTAACCCTCTATTCACAAAGCACCTCACTATTCAAACTTCTCTCTTTTAAGGATTCCCCTAACTGCACACCATTCAATCTCTAGAACCCAATAATCAGTGGCAAATATTTTCCCAGTGTGTGTGTTACTTAGCCTAGAATGAGACCCTAAGGTGGAAGATGGCAGGACACAAGCTTTAGAAAAATAGTCTGGATAGGCTTTTGTTCTTCTAGGTCCTGACTCAGTGTCCCCCCAGTACTAAGTCAACTTTATTCAGTGATGTATAATTTTACTTTATACATCAGGCTCAGATTTTTGTATAAAATCTGATGAGTTATGTAATTCATGAAAATTAATATACACAGTAAATTTTAAAACCAGCGAAATTTAAGACCAGTGTGAGATACAGAGAGGAGCTATTGGTCACTTTGGGTTCCTCCTAAAGAATTGTCTGAGTATTTTTTGCCCCATTCTGTCTCTAGGCTTTTCACTTTTGGCACTAAAAGACTCCACTGCCATAACCCCCTGGAAAGCAACATCTAGTTTTTCCTGATACAAGTTAAAGGAACAGTCTAGGTACATTAAGAAACTTCCCTTCAGAAAGGTATTTGATTGTAGTGAGTAAAAACATCATTATGGGCACAATAGGACAGAATAGTTGGAAGCAGGAATGACCTAGAAAAGTGAGTGACATAGCCAGTTCTCTAGAATATTTGATGGGTTTCCTTTCTCTGAAGTCATGACTGATGTGTAGAGCAGCAGACTAACTAATCTTTAAGCAATTGCTTCTCCTTTAGTAAGTTTTAGAAAAGCTCCTGTGTCATAGAATGCTAATTGAAAAAAACAAAGATGACTTCAGGTGTTTCCTGATTTGTGCCTTGAGATCCTGCCTCCCTTAAGGCTGCAAATTATAGAGAAGCCTGTTATTTTCTCAATAGTTTTACACCAATAAGATATGTTGTCACCTTACATTATATGCTACCATTTACCACGAGTAACTGCGCTCTGCCGCACTGCATAATAATGATAATCATTCTGATCATATATCAACACAATGAGATAATGAGATAATAACAAGATAACAGTACCTTCCCTGCATGCTAAATAATTGACTTCAGTCACAGACATGTTTCCAGCCTGTTCCACCCTACTGTATGGTGTCAGAGTTTATGTTTCATTACTAGGGGTGCTTCCTTCCAGCAGGCTGTTGAACGCACTAGTACATATATCTGTTGTGAGTTTCCAAAAGTTATTCTTGAAGCTTATACGACATTCTCTGGATTATTTTCTTGTATAAGATGCTTGAGGGAGTTCTGGTGTGTCAGTGCAACATACCTAATAAATTCATTCCAAGATAGCATTTGGGATATCATAAGAGATCTCATGAACAAAAACAGACAAATACACCATAATCAACAATACCTGGAGATTTAGAGATTAACTTGTCTAGCCTCATAAGATTTTCACATCAATTTCCCCTGAAGTATCAGACCCATCTGTATAGAAGTTATTTATCTGAACCAAGGCAGAGATTAAGTCTAGCAGGCTGGGACGTTTTTTTTTATTTATTTGAGAGAGAGAATGAGATAGAGAGAGAGCATGAGAGGGGGGAGGGTCAGAGGGAGAAGCAGACTCCCTGCCGAGCAGGGAGCCCGATGCGGGACTCGATCCTGGGACTCCAGGATTATGACCTGAGCCGAAGGCAGTCGCTTAACCAACTGAGCCACCCAGGCGCCCAGGCTGGGACGTTTTTATCCTAAATGAAAGCAAGATATGATCATGTGCAATAGCCACATCATTAAAAGGGTTCAAATCCCATGGTATTTTTGTGACCATTTGTGCTAACAGAAACTTGCCTTTTTCCCCCTGAGTTTCTCACTTAATTCTTGGAGGTTAATCTTCATAAATATATGATTGTTTTTACAGAACATGTTGCATCTGAAGGCTTCTATTTAGAAATTCTAAGGCAGAGGGACGAATAGTTCTGGTTAATGCATTTATCAGTGTCGGATTATTAATATTAGCTTGCAGAAAAATATTACTATTGTTCTGTCATCAGGTTTTCCTGCATATGGAAAGAATTTGACTTTTGTTTGATTTTTCGTCTAAGCCTCAAACTAGAAGAGAAGCAAATTGCCACCCCCTCCCCTGCCCCCATCAAAAGTTCATAGCACTAAACCCAAGCGCTGCAAGTTCTGTTTGAAGGCTTTCCTATTGTACTCATCTATTTTACTTTTCTGTTTTTCTCTTTTCTCTTTTGTAGCGTCAGCCAAACCCAGACCCCACAGTGATGAATATTCAAAGAAGATCCCTCCTCCCAAACCCAAACGGAACCCCAACACTCAGCTGAGCACATCTTTCGATGAAACGTACATCAAGAAGCACGGGCCGCGGAGGACGTCGCTCCCGCGGGACCCCTCTCTGTCCCTGGTGAGCAGCCCGGCGGGGGACCCTGAGGAGGAGGAGCCCGTGTACATCGAGATGGTGGGCAACATTCTCAGAGACTTCAGGAAGGAGGATGATGACCAGAGCGAGGCCGTCTATGAGGAGATGAAATACCCCATCTTTGACGACTTGGGCCAAGATTCGAAATGTGACCTTGACCATCACAGTTGCTCTTCGCAGTGTGCTACTCCCACGGTGCCTGAATCGGACTTCGCCAAGTCCTCAGTGCCATGTACTCCAAAGGGTTTGCTTTGTGACATACCCCCGCCCTTCCCCAACCTGCTTTCTCACCGACCCCCGCTGCTGGTGTTCCCCCCCGCGCCAGTGCAATGCTCCCCCAATTCCGACGAGTCTCCGCTCACCCCGCTGGAGGTCACCAAGCTGCCCGTGTTGGAAAACGTGTCTTACATGAAGCAGCAGGCCGGCGCGTCTCCGTCCTCACTGCCCTCTCACGCCTCCGGCCACCCCAAGCTGGACAAAGAGCAGGCCGCGGCCCTGGGCCCCAGCCCTGCCGCCGCCGCCTCCGCGCTGTCCTCGTCCCCGCCCCCGCCGTCCACCCTGTACCGCACGCAGTCCCCCCACGGCTACCCGAAGAGCCACTCGGCCTCCCCATCGCCGGTCAGCATGGGGAGGTCCCTGACCCCGCTCAGCCTCAAGCGGCCCCCGCCCTACGACGCCGTGCATTCAGGCAGCCTCTCTAGGAGCTCTCCATCAGTGCCTCCTCATTCGACCAGCAGGCCGGTGTCGCAGGATGGGGCCAAGATGGCCAACGCCTCAGTGAACACCTACGGCCCGGCTCCGGGTGCCTCCCGGTCCAGGACCCCCACGAGTCCCTTGGAAGAACTAACCAGCCTCTTTACCTCTGGACGAAGCCTGCTGAGGAAGTCGTCCAGCGGCCGCCGTTCTAAAGACCCCACACAAAGTAAGTGTACAGTCTCTGGGAGACAGGTTTCCAACTTAAAAATAAAGCGAAGCCCGGGGTGTGCAGATGAAGCACGGAGTGCAGGGCCTTTAGTTCTTTGAGTTGAAATATCAAAGTGGGTTGTCTCCCTTTGCCATGCTGAAGGATAGTGCATTCTGAAAGAACTCAAAGTGGCAATTGGCGGAGTGTAACATATGCTATTGAAAGGAAGAATGACTTTTTAAACAGTAAATTGTTACAGTGGCTCTAGAAAGTCTAATAAAGTAAACAGATCACTGGAATTTTTAGGTAAGTAACTTGAATTTTGAGACAAAGTATATATTTAAACATAATGATAAATATTAACATTCATCTTTATCTTATATTAAAAACCTGCTTGAGCAAATCTGGATTGCAAATCTTTTGCTGGGAAGATAGAAATTTGGATAGAATTTAGTATTTTTTTAACATGGCGAATGATTCTCCCTGTATACTTCATGAGGTTATTATGTTCTCACATTCAACCTAAACTAGAAAAGGCTCCTTGCTTCCCTTTTAACACCTATGGTAATTAGCATCTTATTCCTAGATCCACTGATACATAAATTACAGAAAAAATCACTAAGTGATAAATAGGTGGTGCACATTGTATTTACCGTTGAACTTCGAAGACCAGGAAATGTCTCTATCTGAATGACTGAATCTTCTTGTGAACCCCAAATCACTCCATACGTATACAGTCAAGTCAAAACAGACCCCAGTTCTCTCAGTGTCCATTGTATTAAATTACACTGCTTTCCCTTACTTAAAAATGTCTTAGGCACCCAAACTGGTAATTAATCATTTTCATCTCAGATTACCCCAACACAGGATTTTACTTAGCCACACAGGATTTTACTTACCCATTGAGTTCCTTCCTTAAAGGAAAAAAAATAAAATTAATACTTCTGATGATGAAGATGGTGATGGCACTTTTTTTTAAGATTTACGTATTTATTTGATAGAGAGAGAGAGTGGGGGGAGGGGCAGAGGGAGCGAATCATTCAAGCATGGAATAGGCGGAGGGGCCCTCAATCTCTGGACCCTGATCATGACCTGAGCCAAAAACCAAGAGTCGGATGCTCAACCGACTGAGCCACCCAGGTGCCCCAATGGTGATGGCGCTTCTTAGATAATTAATATTCATTCATGTTAGAAGCCACACATCCTGTCTTTTTTGCTTATTTACCCAGAAAGATTTATGAAAGTATTACTGCTTAAATAATCCTTGCCCAAAACATTTCATTTACCTGATTGAAAGGCAAAAAATTCTTATCTATTCGACATGTCTGAAATTAAATACATATGTACATGCATACATTAAACTATTTTTTAAAAATTGAATTAAAACTTAGGAACAATCTGCTTCTAAAATAGCGGTCCTCAGCCAGAGCAGTTTGGCCCCCAGGGAGTTTTGGCAATGTCTGGAGACATTTTTAGTTGTCACGACTGAGGGTACTATTGACATCGAGTGGGTACAGGCCAGAGGTAGTCCTTAAAAGCTGACAAAAAAGATGATCTGATCCACAATGGCCATATTGGCAAGTTCGATGAACCCTGACCTAAATAATTTATTAAAGTTCCAAGTTTCTTCTGGATGAGTGATTTGGTTTAAGCACAAATCAGTTAAGGTGCTTGGAATAAATTGGAGAAACAAAATGAAAGAATAAGATTTTACTTTCAAACTATGTAATGGTTAGTGTGAAATTAATGGGCGTTTCATCCTAGATTTGGTGAAATTATTGGATTTTCTTTTACCTACCAGTTTCTTTGGAGGATCCTGAACAGCTCCAGCTGGCAGCTGTACCAATTAGCTAGAAAAAGTATATGTAAAAGAAATGATTAACTAATGAAGTTATTTCAAGAAAAATCCATCTGTTAGAATTTGTCTATGTGCTATATGTCACAGACTTCTCCATTCGAGTCCAAAATGAGCTTTGTGTGCTTCTAAAACAAAGCTTATAGATGGAAAAGTGATCCAGGCTCTTTATAGCTTTTAGGGATCTGAGGATTGAATTCCTTCCTGTGTGCTATTAACCATGTATCAACTCTTCAGAGAAAGGGCATGTCTGGAGTTACATTAACTTCAATATTTTACTTTATAAAGGGAAAGGAAGAAAAATGCAGATAGTGCAAAGAATAATTTAATGTTATTTACTTTTGACTCCAGTAGAAAATGCTAAAAAAATCATAGTGGCGGGGCGCCTGGGTGGTTCAGTCCTAAACATCTGCCTTCAGCTCAGGTCATGATCTCAGGGTCCTGGGATCAAGCCCTGCATCAGGCTCCCTGCTCAGCAGGGAGTCTGCGTCTCGCTCTCCCACTGCCCCACCCGCTCCCCCCTGCTCATGCTCGCTCTCACTCTGTCAAATAAATCTCAAGTGTTTTTTTTTTTTTCTTTTCTTTTTTTTTACATTTAAGGAATAAAATTAAGGCTGGTATTTCTATTCTCCATACCCTCTGGCTTTACTGGAAGTGTCAATTTTGATAATTTCCTAATACTCAAATCAAAGGAAATGTAATATTTCTGTTTTAATTTAAAAATCTATGTCAAACAAAATATATGCCTTCAACTCTTATTTTAATAATCTAAAAAGATATACTTAATTTAATTTCATATCTTAAAAGCTTACAACTGTTGACAGAGATTGACTGATAGGAAAGAAATACAATAAGATGATAGTGGTAGACTATGAACCAATTTCATTTCACTGCATGATTTTCTAAACATGGCCTTCACATTAAGTGTTCTAGGAAGTATTTTTTTCCCTGATTGATGGGACATTGTCATGTTGCTTAGCTATAGATGAGGACACTTAATAGTCTAACTATATTTTATTTGAATTGGTTATTGTTAATATTTCTTAATTTTGTGCAGAGAGGTAGAGTCTACAAGGCATGTAAGAAGTGATCGACTTGTATTTTATTGCTGTAAATTTTTCTCTACATGAGAAGTCGGTGAAGTACAAATATGTTTATGGTGAATTTGGAGTATTCACCATAATAGTATTTAAAATATTTTTCTCTTCAAATAAGAAATATTTTTTTTTTTTAAAGATTTTTAAGATTTTATTTATTTATTTGAGAGAGAGAATGAGAGAGAGAGAGAGAGCACGAGAGGGGGGAGGGTCAGAGGGAGAAGCAGACTCCCTGCCGAACAGGGAGCCCGATGCGGGACTCGATCCCGGGACTCCAGGATCATGACCTGAGCCGAAGGCAGTCGCTGAACCAACTGAGCCACCCAGGCGCCCCAAATAAGAAATATTTTTAAAAGAAAGGTTTTGCCTATATATAATATAAATGCGTGAATATATGCTCTTATAAAAAGTACAAGACACAATGAAGAATATAATTAAATTCTATAATATACCCAAGGGAGAGTAGGAGATAGAAAAGGCATATGTGGAGAAATTTTAATAGAAAATTTAAGGAAAAAATAGAAACATCAAACAGTAAAGTGACTAATTCAGAGACTAAGGCACCAAGAAAGATACAAAAGAAATGCACACATGGGGTGGGATCAACACGTAAGCCAATGTGGATGCCAATACCTGAAGCAGCTGCTAAGGTCCACATAGAGCTCACAGAAGGACATAGAGACATGGGGGGCCTAAAGAAGGAGCAAAGAAAAACAAAGATGTAGGCCCCCTCATCTGGTATTGTTATTTTAAAAAATGGTGAGTCCGCATTGCCAGAGGGCTTCATTATGCATAACAATATTCCACATTAATGGAGATACAGAGTTTTCTACTGTTACATCTCATCTTTCAGCCTCTTAAAAACACTCTCATTTAAGACGTTTAGATATTATGTTGTATTTTTACAATCATAAATCTAAATGGGTCCTATTGGTTTGATGAAATAAACTTAGGAATCAGATGTAACCTTTGTCTTTCCATTCACTTTCTTAACACACACACCCCCCCCACCTCTCTCTCTCACACACACACACACCCCACACACTCTCTCTCTCTCACACACACACAGAAATTACAACCCAAAGGAAACATGCAAACAAACTCAACCAAAACAAAACCAAAAACCTATCTCCATGCCCTCCACCACACTCCCCTCCCCGCCACACACCATAAACACAGCTTTCTCCTTTTGTATGTCATTTGAGGTACAGTGATGCTAAAATATTGGGCATTGCTGGTGAAACAACTGATCCAACTTACTCTTACTAATTTAATTAAAAAAATTTTTTTTTACTGAAAAAAGAATGATTTTGGAAGGAAATCTTCTTAAATGTATTTCTGTATTTATATATTATCCCACTTTCAGGAAAAAAGGAAGGGTATACTAACATAATGTAGCCATCTTTATGATTCAGGGTCATTGCTATGATTATCATTGTGTGCCTACTATGTGTTAGTGCGCTTAAGGTGTTTGGGGCACCTCGGTGGCCCAGTCGGTTAAGCATTCGGCTCAGGTCTTGATCTCAGGGTCATGAGATCTAGCCCCATGTCAGGCTCTGCGTGGCTTCTGCTTAAGATTCTCTCTCCCTCTCCTTCTGCCCCTGCCGCTCATGTGCTCTCCCTCTCAAATAAATAAGTCTTTTTGAAAAAAAGTGTCTAGTGGGGTGCCTGGGTGGCTCAGTTGGTTAAGCGACTGCCTTCGGCTCAGGTCATGATCCTGGAGTCCCTGGATCGAGTCCCGCCTCGGGCTCCCTGCTCGGCAGGGAGTCTGCTTCTCCCTCTGACCCTCCTCCCTCTCACGCTCTCTGTCTCTCATTCTCTCTCTCTCAAATAAATAAATAAAATCTTTAAAAAAGAAAAAAAGTGTCTAGCAAGGTGACCAGAACAGGATACACCTCACACAGTGGTGACTATCATTGTCCCTGGCCATTTATAATAACAGTGACACAGTGTTAATAGCTTAATTACTGTGACACTGGGATGTCTTCAGGGGCTATTTGAGTTTGTAGCTCTGACTAGCCCTCTACTGCTATATCGTTTAAATTTATTTGAATTCTTATGTCTAT